ACGTCGTGGCATCTTTGCCGATCGCCTATCTTGCGGTGATGGTGGAGAAGAGGCTCGATGATGTGACAGAATAGGTGATGGTTGTCGTTGTGGAGGTGTATAGTCGGGTCGATCAGATGATGGCTCTGGGTGAGGTGATAGCTCTGGGCGAGGTGATGGCTCCCGAAGTGGAGGCTGCTCATCAACCGTTCCATCAAAAAATGCTTACTAGCTTGCCACCAATCAGTGGCAAGCTCAGCTTCCGTGGGTGTCAGCCTCTGTAGAGGAGTGTTGGCCTCCTAACAATATAAAAGCTCAAACAAAGTTAAACGTGTACTAGTAATAACTTGTTTATAAACATATGGTAGTATTTATGTTAACTTACATTATTTATTGTCGTATACCGTAGTAAATCTTCCCATTGCAAGGTCCGTTTCCTCTTCTAGGAAATAGCCCTGGGAATATCATTTGAAGTTTTTATTGCATATGTCTTCATGGCGGGAAAGGCCTCAAATATCCAAATCTACAAACAATATAATAACAAACATTAGTAATTGTTAAATAATTACTTATAATTTTGGAAACATTATATAAAAATTCTTACCTTAAAGGCCCAAATAAAGCCTGTCAAAGTGTATTTGGAACCATCGCCATGCAAACTTTTTCGATCATCCAAGGCAGACGATAACTTATTCCATGTAGCTTTCCATAAATACGAGCCCCACGGAAACAGGTTCCACGCATTTAGGTCTTCTACCAATTTGATTAGATCATTTGGAATAGGTTGTCTGGCCTCTCTGCCTAAAAAGCCGGCATGCAAAAGAATTAGAAGGCATACTCGGACAACGTCGACGTCATCCATCCGAGTAAAACCATCTTTCTTATTCAACAATCTTGTCAGGTCTTCTACGTGTAGATTCGGCCTCTCCAGCTCAAGAAAAACCCGAGATAGCCATGATGGGCGGGTAATGTGTCTAGTGTACCGACCTACATCATTGTGTCCGAAGCGTAGACCGGTGATTAAGCAAAACTCCTCCCGCCCAAAACACGTATACGCCGGTGGAAAATCAAACCATATCTCTTCATCACGACGTTGTATAGTCTCTGATAGATCGCTAGTCATGGTTTGAAGAAACAGGTGTGTCAACATCGCATCTCCACCGGGATGTTGTACTTTCAGCCATGGCCCGAAGCATGTATCTTCAAACATTTTTCTTTGTGCAGGTAAAAGCTTCGACGCAATTGTTTTGGCCAGGCTGACTTTATTTCTTAAGGTCAATTGAGCCGAATAAAAGTTCTACAAAAGGAATAAACATACTAAGTTAGATATACCAAAAACTACACTGTGAAGATATACCAAAAACAATAATAAACATAAAGAGTAGTAGTTTATTCTTCAAACTTAAATTTGTAACACTGTAAATTTCGTATTTGTCTTTGTTTTTTGGTTGAAGTAATGCAATTCATTCAAGTTTCAATTTGCAGAAGAAGAATAGTTTCTGAAAATGAAAATCGCAACACGAAAATGACTATCGCAACGCGAATTTGACTATCGCAACGAGAGAATCGCAACGCGAAACTAAAATCGCGTTGCGATTTGCATTTCGCGTTGCGATTCTCGGTTGATTTAATAAGCAATCTAAGTGAAATGGTTAATCTATTATTGAAATTACCAGTAAACTTATCATCAATTTCAATATGAAAAACCTAATAATAATGCAAAAATTTCAAAAAGAAAATAATTAAAAAAACTAACCCTCGTTGGTTGATTTGGTTGATTTTCCATTTCTGATTGTGAGGGTGGCTCTGAGAGATGGAGATAGACGGATTTCGCCGGAGATGGGGACGGATTTCGTCGGAGATGGGTGAGAGAGTGAGAGATGGAGATGGGACTGAGTTGTGATTTTAGGTTTTAGGTTATGAGTTGCGATTACGGGATATACTGTGGACGGTTCAGTGTTCCAATATATTAATATTCGTGTTTGGAATTTAAAAATAAAATACTTGGCCAGGATACTAATGGCGCTTTGAAAATCGCATTGCGATTATGTATTATCGCGTTGCGAAAGTCAGTATCTCGTTGCGATTTTGTATTATCGCATTGCGATAGTAAGTATCTCATTGCGATAGTCAGTATCGTATTGCGATTTTCCCAATTCGCGTTGCGATTTACTTATTCGCATTGCGAATTGGGAAAATCGCAACGACACTGTAGACCATCGCAACGCGATTTTCAACTATCGCAACGTAAAATGCAACGCGAATTTGCGTTAATGGAGATCGCGTTGCGAATTAGCGATCGCATTGCGATTTTGTTGGTCATTTTGGCAAATCCGGAAAAAGTTGGTTAAAATCGTATATTATATGGGATTTTTGGTCACTGAGATTATTTTCTCATAATATTATCATTCTAGGCATAATCACTTATAGATTAATTCATACTTGATATTATACAAATTTATTACAAGAGCGATAATCTCAATACAAATTAATTTATTTATAATATTACAATTCGAATCTCATTCTATTAGATCAAATTGATAATTGACACAATCTTATACTTTTAAGAGATTTAATTAAAGATTTCTTAAATACACGAGAGATAACAATGAACAATCAAACGTGGGGTATATGGTACTTCAGGTCAGGTCGGCTCATCATCAGGCAGCTGCAGATAGAATTTATGTGATCGTTCAATGTGCCTATTGCTGAACTGAAAAGTTTCCAAGCAATGGAGGTTTAGGCTTAGCTCGTTAAAGGACGTCGTAACCAGTATGGTAAATAAATTAAAAAGTGCTAGCTGTTTTTTACTCAGTTATGTTGGTTAGAGATCTAAAGTCTATATATATGGTAACGATGCATCCCACGAGACAGTTAGTCCTTGACAGTTAAACAGTGCAGCCGCCACCAATTATGACTAACGGTGACCAAAGGCGCCAATCCTAAAGGCTGAAAACACGGGCTTGATTCACATGTGCCTCCGGGAACCTTTTTTTTCTTCCTTCTAGGGTAGGTAAATGTTGGTTTAAATTCATTTATCGGATAGTATTTGATCAAGTTGGTTGTGGTAGTTGATTCAATTTTGTAAGTAGGTAAAATAGGTTAATTCAGTCTATAATGAATTGTACTTTTACCCTTTAAATCTCTGTAGATGACTTATATAATCTTACCCTTTAAAACCACCTATTCATTAAATTCAATTCAAGAATTTTAGTTTTACCATCGAAAAATGTAGGGGAGAGAAATATTAACTGAGAGTTTTAATCACTTACTCTAGAGACTGTTGCGTTAAAATTTAATATTAAAGATCATATTGATTTTAATGAGAAAGAGAGAATAATTTAACAGACCTCTATTTGAATCTATAATTAATATGAGTTCCTCGTAAAATTGGGAAATAGAAGATAATTATCATGGACCTCAAAGTGAGGCCAATTAAAACGATAAGATGGCTAATAATGGAGTTAGATGAAGGTCTCAAACATCAAAAATTTCAATTAAAAGTGCAAACGCTAATTATTTTATTCAACAATGTTAGTTTGATTGATGATCCTGTAACATCCCAAAAGCTGGGCTAGTGATTAAAATGTATGTTTTTGAAATTTTGTGCTTAATTTTGAAAAATTGAAAAGTTCAGGGATTTAATTGGAATTTCTTGGAGCATGATTGAATAACAAAGTTTGAAGGATGAAAGGGTAAAATGGTCATTTGATAAGAAATGAATTAAAAATTTATTTGATTGTCTTTATATTCACATGGAAAGAAAGAGTAAGAGGGAAAGAAAAATCTGGAATAGTGAAGCTTCTTCTTCTCCTTCTCCTTCTTCTTCTCTTCCCGTGTCTTAATAGCTAAGGTAAAGAATGCTCAAATTGATTATTTCTTATAATTTATGATGTGTTTTGATTCTTTGGGTATTAAGAAAGCTTAAGGAAGCTAAAAGTGAAGCTGAAGCTCAAGGATTTATAAATTATGAGAGATTGAATATAAGGGGTGTTAAAGTGAAATTTTGAGGAAGAAATTATAAATGAATTTTTAAGCCATATTTGACCTGTCAATGGTCTAATTAAGAAGTTAGAAGTAATAGAAGTGAATTAAGAACATGTTGGATAATTGGTGTGATTTTCGTTTTCAAGTGTTCTGTGAGTATTTTGGATGTTTAAGTGATATAAGTTAGTTTTAATAAGTATATTTGAGTTTAATGAATTGAAAGGAGTTAAAAGAGTGGAAATTAAGTAAGTTTTGAAAAATTTTCAGGTAAAATAAATAAGTTTTGGATGAACTTTAAAAATCCATTTATAACTTCTTCCTCAAAATTTCACTTTAACACCCCTTATATTCAATCTCTCATAATTTATAAATCCTTGAGCTTTAACTTCTCTATTAGCTTCCTTAAGCTTTCTTAATACCCAAAGAATCAAAACCCATCATAAATTATAAGAAATAACCAATTTAAGCATTCCTTACCTTAGCTATGAAGACATGAGAAGAGAAGAAGGAGAAGAAGAAACTCCACTATTCCATATTTTTCTTTCCCTCTTATTATTTCTTTCCACGTGAATATAAAGATAATCAAATAAAATTTTAATTCATTTCTTATCAAAATGATCATTTTACCATTTTACCATTTTACCCTTTCATCCTTCAAACTTTGTTATTCCATCATGCTCCAAGAAATTCCAATTAAATACCTGAATTTTTCAATATTTCAAAATTGAGCATAAAATTTTAAAAATTTATATTTTAGTCACTAGCCCAGCTTTCGGGATGTTACAGATCCAATGACCAAAATCTTAGATCAATACTCGTATAATGCTGGGTCTCTTTTTCTCCGTAGGCGTAGCTGGCTTTATTAACTTCATGTCTGGGCACGGATTATTGATGATTGGATGTAAATTACTGGTTCACTTTTTAAGTATCGTGACACTTCCGGCAATTTAATTACTGGGTCTTACTTCTCAGTCATCTATATATATGTTCTATGATCTATCGTCATGGGCACCCTTTCTATTTGCATGTAAACGATGAGGGCCTTCAGGGTTCCCATTTTCCTGCTTCTCGGTGTTTTTCTTCTTTCCGGTCGTATTGACGCTAGGAAGCTAGCTGTGAGCGAAAAGAAACTGCATGCAGTTGGTGAGAATAAATCATTCTTCCCTTATATCCCTGTTTATGGCGATGGGTTCGGTTGGCCTGGTTCCGATGGCCGCATAGGCGGAGGAGGTGGGGGTGGTGGTGGTGGAGGAGGCGGGGGTGGCAATGGGGGTGCTGGATATGGTTTCGGAGGTGGTGCTGGAGGTGGGATTGGGTCAGGAAAAGGAGGGATTGGAGGCGGAGGTGGTGGCGGGGGTGGTGGTGGTGGTAGTGGGTTTGGCGGAGGATACGGTGCAGGATTTGGAGGAGGAATCGGAAGTGGGAGCGGAATACCGTGAGTTTGTGAAACAGATTGTACTGACGTTGTTGCTTGGGATTGAAGTAACTTCATCCTATATGTTCTCTGGTATTATTAATTTGGGTGTGCATTACTTGTTGATTAGTTGGCTCCGTTTCACAGATGTAATTGTAATCTGTAAGCCTAGACGTGAATGGATGGAATAAAGTTGCTTGTAATAAAAAGTTCATTTAACTTGTATTAGTCACATCTTTGTGTTTATTGAACCTTAAACACTCTTCTTCTTCTTCTTCTGGGTGAAATCAAACACTCTTCTTTTGTACTAACACTTTTAACAGAACATAACTAAAATATAACAACAAAAACTTCTAGATTATGATTCCCGTGATGTGAAGAAGAAAAAGAATTAATGTTAAAACATTAAATATATATAATCATTTTATCATTAATTTTCTTTTGCATTCTATTAATACATCGCCATGCACATTAATAATGCTTTTAAATCTTAATTGTTGACAATAATGAGATTAAGTGTGTTAATTCATATTTTATTTCTTGAGGTCCCAAGTTTGAGCATTAGAAATATCAGAGGTATGAGCGTTTAATGTCAAATGATTGAGAGTTATTTTTGAATATATATTGTATTTACCTAGATTAATAAAAAATAATAATTATTATTTGGTATGTAAGGACCTTCATAATAAGGGTAGTATTTCTCTCCTTAAAAAATTTAGGTTTGAACAGTTGTGTTTGTAGAGTATTTATGTATTATTATACAATTTGAATTACTTCATTTTGTATCAAAATATATATTGTCAATTTTTTTAGAAAATTTAGTGAATTTGAAGTAAAGTTATTGAATAAATCCTTGTACTGTAACATAATATATTTTGATATAGAAATAAGATTTAATGTATATTAATTTTCGATAATTAAATGAATTTAATTTTATAGTTGAAATTAAAATTAGAAAATAAATTATTTTTAAGATAATTTTTATATTATATAAATTAATCCTTTTAAAAGATAAAATCTAATTGCAAAACATAAAATTTTTCGGTTTTAACCAAAAGGCCTCGAATTAATTATTCAAGGCATGTATGTGGGCTTAAACAGAAGCCTAGGTTCACTTTGATCTGCTTCAAAGTTATGCCCAGTCCAGTTGAATAAAAGCTATCCCTCTTTTCCGATCCCGTCAAACAAGAAACCCCAAACGAAAGTACGAAACACATTCATTATTAAACCCTAGACACCCGCTCTCTGCTCCTCGCAAACACCAAGCTACAATGGCGGACGTAGTTCAGTACCGTCTCGAGCGCATGGTAGACGAGCTCGATGACCTCGAGCGTCGCGGTATCTTCACTCGTCGTGAGATCGCCGAGATAGTCAAGCAACGTCGCAAGTTCGAATACCGACTCAAGCGACCTTCTCCTCTCAAGCAAGATTTCATTGCCTATATCGACTACGAGACTCAGCTTGATGCTCTTCGCCGGCTCCGTAAGAAAGCTGCGACTCGTGAACTCGTGCGCCAAGGAAAGAAGACCAAGAGTAGAAAATCGGTCTCCGATTTCGCCTCCGTCGCGAGAATTACGGAGATATATAGACTTGCCGTGATGAGATACAAAGGAGATGTGGAACTTTGGTTTCGGTACCTTGAGTTTTGTAGGCAGAGAAATAATGGAAGAATGAAAAAGGTACATTTTTTTTTTTAATTTATACATTTATATATTTCTGTTTGAATATGGAAAAAAAGAACTTGTTTGAGTGTTTATTCGGGTTTTAGTCGCGAATGGTTTTTTAATTTGTTGAATATTGTAGGTTTTGGCTCAAGTGATTCGGTTTCATCCTAAGCTGCCAGGAGTATGGATATATGCAGCAGCTTGGGAATTTGATCATAATTTGAATGTTGCAGCAGCTCGTGCTTTAATGCAAAGTGGCTTGAGAATTTGTCCTAGTTCAGAGGACCTTTGGGTGGAGTATCTTAGGATGGAACTTACATACCTTAACAAGCTAAAAGCACGAAAGGCTGCTCTAAGGGAGGATAAAGGAACCTTGGTCCGTGATAAGAAGGATGCCGATGAGAAACAATGGAAAGAGGAAAATAAAGATTTGTTTATGCCCCTTGATGATGAAGAAAAAGAAAATAATGATCACGGGTCAGAGGAAGAGTCTGAGAAGGAATCAAATTTGTTTTTGGAGCATGCTTCAGGTATTCTTAAAACGATATATAGTGGGGCAATTCAAGCAGTCCCTTCTAGTTTTAGCCTCAGGAAGCAACTTCTCGAGATACTGGAAGCAATAGAAGTGGCAGATTGGGAGGAGCTTCATGGTGAGATTCTGAGTGATATGAAAAGAGACTTTTCAGCTGACCCTGAATATTGGGATTGGCTAGCAAGACTCGGAATGTCTGATGCCTCAAGTACAGGGGAGAAGAATGATGATGCCATGGTCTCTAAGTTGCAAAAGGCAGCTCAGGTGTGAAACTTGTAACAACTATATATTGCCAAGTAAAACTCTAGCAAGCATGTTTATGATATGATATATATTATTTCTCATGCCATGTACAGGTGTATGAAGAGGCAATACAAACCCTGCCTTCAGCTAGGATGTTTAAGTTTTATATAAAATTTTTGTCGGATGTCATTGCTCCTGACAGTGGAGAAGCAGAAGTGATTTCCTTAACCAATCATACCTCGAGTTATATTATTGATATTATTAAGGTTTATGAGAAGGCTGAAACAATGGGGTGTCTTACAGAAGAACTTGCTTGCCAATATATTTCATTTTACACACAACTTGGGAGAGTGGAGGAAGCCAAGAAAGTAGCAGAGAAGCTTTGCTGTGGAAAACTTTCAGATTCATTACAATTATGGATTTTGAGGGTTTCCATAGAAATTAGATGTATCACAAATTCTCTCTTTCCTGGCAAGACTGATGCATTGTACATCTTTGAGCTTTTTAGAACTGTTCTCACAAAAATGTCAATGTCAGAAGCTGAGAGCTTGTGGGTAATGGTATGGTTCAGCATTAATTTTCTTATTTGTTTTTCTTTTCTCTCTTCAACTCCCTAGTTGATGTTTATTTATCATGCTGAATGAACTTGGATCCCCTCATGCTGCAACTGAAGTTATGACGTGCCTGGACATGTTGAATTATGCTTTTTTATCTGCATTGTATATATGAAAACTTATTAGTATTTTGTATTTCTATCTCTTCCTCCACTACATCAGAAACAGTAAGGCTATCAAGTTGACGAGTATGAAAATGCTGATGTAATGCTATCTCATTCTGCAGGCTCTCAAATTCTTTGTAAATCAGAAGAAATATTTTGAGAAGCTGATTGAGCTTTCTCTCAAAGCGGTTGCTAAATTTGGTGGCAGTGAGAATGGTTTTTCTCTTTCTTCAGCTGTAGTTAATTTCATCCTTCAAAAGGATGGACTTAAACGTGCAAGGGAGGTGTATAAGCGGTATGTTATCATGTCTTGAATCAATGTTTTTGGTTACTTTTGTTTTACCTCAATTGTATCTCCCCAAGAATTTGAAGTTAAGGTTTGCTGCTGTGCTTTTACATTTATATGTTAGTATAACAGAAGTATATCACCAATATTCATTTGATGCAAGAAATTTCTTACTTTGTGTCCTCCACCAATTGTAGATTCCTGGCTCTACCTCATCCAGGTCTTGCATTATACAAAAATTGCATTGAATTAGAGTCACATCTCGCCTCTCTTGGCAGTGAGGATTCTCTAGTAAATGCCCGAAAGTTGTATGAAGCTGCACTCGCAACTTATGACCAAGACACTAGCTTATGGAAGGATTACCATTCCCTTGAAACTAAGGTGAGCTTTTTATATGGTTTCTTTCATACCAGTATCCATGATTTTGTCTTGTATCGCATGCCCTCACTATCTTCCAACCACCTTTTACAGTTGGGGACATCAGAAACTGCTGCTGCTATCTATTGGCGTGCTCGGAAATCATTAAAGGACTCCGCTGTAGTTTTTTAATTCCCCTTACCAATTACAATTTCTTCAGTTTTGATGTCCGATATCGCTATTTATTTTAATTTTTTTATGTTTTTAAGAGAAAACAGAGGAAACCCCTATCAATGCGAAATACTTTGGATCTGAGTCTCAGATTTCAAATTGATCTTAGGATGGCTTCTAATATTTTGTTGGTACAAAAGGCATTTTGGTGACAACTCCATCATAGGCCTTTCCTCTTACCAAAATCTTAGCTTTAGTTCCTGCATTTTGTAACCCGGATTTCACGTATCCCATTGCTATATTCTTCTTCAGGCAGGGGCTAAATCCTCCGCTGGTGTTTTCACCAATGATGTTCCCTTTCTCATCCTGAATCTCACTGTAGGATCGAGGAGGTGGGCCTGAGGACGTGAAGCCAACACGCCTGATAGAGGGACCTTCCAGTTATTCTTAATAACCTGCAATGCAAGAAGACCTAACTATTCGAGAATCAAAGGAAAATATTCGATTGAGTAACAGTCGAAGAGAATAAACTAAAGAAAGAAGCAAAAGTATGTATGTTTGACACAAAACAATCACCAGTAAATTGCATGAACGCAAAATAATGAATCTATAAAGAATCAAGAATGGTTACATACAAGAGTTTAGTGACTAACCTGGAGAGCTAGAAGAGATCTCTCATCATGGATGTGCCAAGAGACATCGCCACCTTTGGACTTGATGCCTTCATATGCTCTTCAATGTGTGCCAGATCTTTATACCTGCAGCCTGCATTCGCTACAAGGTATATGTGATCATCCTTAACTTTGGTGATCACATAATCATCAATTGCCCCTCCCTTCTCATTTGTAAAGACGGTTAGCGTTCCCATTCCAGGGGCAAGTCCAGCAACATCAACAATGATGAGCTTTTCGAGGAATGGAACACAGTCCTTTCCCTTAAGGCTCAGCCCATACATATGGGATATATTAAAGAGTCCACCATTCTGTCTGCAGTTTACTGTAGAGTACATGATCGAGTCCTTGTACAGCTGTACTGAATCGACATGCTCCATCCA